TGATCATAGCCAGCACCCCAAAAAGAGAGGAGCAGACGCAGCCATTTTCTCTCTTCACAGCCCAAACACAACTTGTCTGGGAGGGAGAAGACAAAGAGGTTTATCAGAGTGAGCCCACCCAGCTCATGACCGACACCATCGATGAAACGCACGAGGGTGAGGAGGAGACCATGAAACAAGGTAGGAGAACCCGTGGTGGAGGAACGGTACACAAAGGTAAAAACACCAGCTCCTCTCTTATAATTGCTGAAACTCAGCCCATGTGTGAGGAAGAAGAGGCAACAGATGCAGATCTGAGTGCGGACAGCTTTCAGAAACCAAGTACAAGACAACAGGCTGAGAAATATGATTCTGCACATCTTGCTGAAACCAACTTCAGCTCCCATCTCACTATAGCTGAAACGCAACCAATGTGTGATGATGAAGAAGCACCAGAACAGGACAATATGGTCAGCAGTACTCGTATAGAAAAACCTTCCAGTTCCCATATCAACATCGCTGAAACACAGCCAATGTTTGAGGAAGATGAAGCACCAGAGGATGATCTGAACAATGAGGTCAACAGAAGACAAAACGAAGGTGAGTCCATACATCATATTGAAAAAGCCTCTACCTCCAGTCGTGCCATCCCTGAAACACAGTCTGTTAGTGAAGATGATGAGGGACAAGAGAAAGAGCTCAGCAGCAAGACGTCTAGCAGAAGATCACGCAGGCGTAGACCAAAAAAAGAGAAGGAAGTCCCACAACCTGCCGAGGCTGTTGTCGATCACCCTATAACAGAAACCCAACCAAAGTATGAGGAAAGACAAATTGAGGATCTTAAAAGTGAGGTCAGCTCTGGCAGACAGAGTAAAAGACAACAAGCACATGAATTGAAATCTCCAGAACTTTCTGAAACTGACTTGAAAGCATGTGACACTGTTGCTGAAACACAACCTATGTGTGAAGAAGAGGCACCATGTGAAGATCTGAATAATGCGCTTAGCACCAGGCAAATAGATGAGGACAGATCCACAGAACTCCCAATACCCTCGAGCTCCCATATCAGCGTAGATGAAACACAGCCTATGCATGAGGAAGATGACCTCAGCAGGAAGATGGCAAGCATAAGTTCACGCAGGCGAAGACCAAAGAAAGACGACGAGGTAACAGAAACTGCTGAGGCTGCTGTTCATCAGATTATCACAGAAACCCAACCAGTTCCTGAAGAAGTAATTGAAAAGGATGAAGATCTGAACAGCGGAGTGAAATCTAGGAGATCCCGCAGAGGAAGGCAGATAAAAGAGGACCGCATTCCAAAACCTGCTGAAGCTGCCGTCAGCTCCCTTTCCATTAACACAGAAACGCAGCCTGTTCATGAGGACAGAACTGAAAGGGATGAAGATCTGAGTGGCATCAGATCCAAAAGACCCCGCAGAGGAAGACAAAAAGACGAACATGAACCTGC